CACACACACACACACACACACACACACACACACACACAGTGCAACTGGCAAAACGACAGGCTGAGCGCCTTCCCCCGAATAGAACGCACTTCCATTATCTGTACCTGGCCCACTGGGGGTAAAACGAAAATACATAGGGCCTGGGAAAAGTTGGCAAGTACCGGGACATTTTGTAAAGATTGACAGGTCCCGGTAGGGGTATTTTGCAAAAATGGCAGGTCCAACCAATGCCAGGGGCATTTCACAAAACATTTTTTTGTGTCAGAGGGGTATTCCGCTCTACCCACATCTTTTCGGGGCATTTTGGCATATATCTCAACTTCTAGGGGTATTTCGCAAATTATCCCTTGTTTTTCAGAGTTTTTTTTTTTTTTTTTTTTTTTTTTTTTGCTGCTGGGACCTTCTTTGGTCCTTGCACGGCTGGGCTGACCAGAGCTATTCGAGGGAAAGCAAGAGGTGATCACACCAGTCTTTTGGGTGGACAGGGACATTATTCCCTCAGAAGCAGAATGACAATAGGGTTTTGTGTGACATGGTTACATATCCAAGAACGACTCTTTTACCATATTCATGAAAATCCAAAAGAACTTTAAAGAAGTCAACTAAGTCGAGCCTTCTTTTTTTTGTGCTGCAGACGATGGAACTCTACTCCTTTCTATGAAGGCCCAACGGAACTAAAAACATGTCGCATCTTACTCTACAGTTTCCTTCTTCCTTCCTTCTTCTTGACTATATATGATCAGCAGTCGCAACCCTAATAGCAGCTGCAGCTGCAGCAGCAGCCACAGTGGCTGCATGCAATCAAGGGCTAAGAGTACAGGCAGGCAGTCAGTCTAAGGTTCTTCAGCTATGACTGTTCTACTTCATCATCCAGCATCATCATCTCATCCCTGAACAAGAGCTTCAGAGATGGGAGCAGTGTGGGAAGCAACGGAATATCTGCCATGTTAACGCTCATCATGTCGAATGCAATACAGGTGCGCTCTGTGTAGCTCTCATCGAAGACGGGTATTTTTGGATAACGCTGGCTGAAATGGGTCAAAATTGTTCGGTATGCTCCGGCTGCGATGCCGGTCTGGATCGCCTCTTTTGTCAAACTGTGTTTCTTTGCGTAGGCTTCTTCAGGCATCCGGTCATCAAATGTGGCCTCGTGGATCAGAACGGTGGCTCCTTTGCTGGCATTGACCAGTGACTTGCACGGGCGTGTGTCGCCCGAGTAAACAACTTTCCATTCTTCTTCCCCCTGTTTCTTCTCGCCCACCATGGCGTCTGTCCTCCACCCCTTCAATACGATCCCAAATGCATGTGCACAGTGCACAACCGGTACGCTCTTAATCTCACTAAGTCCTAGCCGGTTGACGACTTCCCTGACAGCTTCCCTTCCATCGACATCCAATCCGTCGCGGAGACTGAACCCACCCTCCAGCCAGTAGTTTCGCATCCCACGCGGTCTCGCTCCACTTGTCTGTGGGCTGCGTGGTCTTGTATTTACCAACCACCCTCCTCTCCGCTCCTCTCCGCCCGGCTTGATATCCCTGTTCCTGGCTTTCGGGCTGACAGATCGTCCGCCCTGTCCCACTAGCTCCACCTGCTGTGCCTCCACAGTGCTCATCTTGATTCTGTCCATTGCTTGCTTGCTGGCTGACTCCCCGCTGGGCCCCCTACTGCACGATAGCAATGGAAGCCCGTCATCATAGGCCACATTGTCTGCTTCATCAGTAGTTTGGCTACAATCCACAAAGACCATCCCGAGGTCTTCAAGCCTGCAGTACTCGTCCAGGAAGTGCCGCAACGGCTTCGGTCCAATCACCACCGCCGGTTTAAAAGACGGATCAGCTCGCAGCAACTCCCGCCTGACAGAGAGTATGCGCGCCAAACCCGCATGATGATCGGCATGAATGTGGGAAATCCAAACACAGTGGATTCCTGCTACAATTTCATCTGTTTGTTTCGCCCCATACCTTCTTTTTAGCTGACCGTATGTCCCCTCTCCGCAGTCCAGCAACACTCCCCCCCGGCCAAACAAATGAACATATATCGCACTCACGTTGCGATACTTCGAAGGCTGCGAAGACCCTGTTCCCAGAAACACCACTTCCAATTCTTCTCGTCCAATGCCCCGTAGACACTTTGGCAGCTCTTCTTCTTCTTCTTCTTCTTCTTCTTCTTCTTCTTCTTCTTCTTCTTCTTCTTCTTTCAATTCCAGCCTCTGGACACTGCTGCCAACCTGCCGACCTCGCCCATCAAGGCCCTCCACCGAATCCTCCTCACTCAACCCATAAGTACCACCCATTTCTGGAATTGAGATGGGGGCTGGATGAACCTCCATCACCGTGGGCGAGCAACTGCCAATGCCTCTGTGCCCATCAGAAGCCCCAGCACTGTCAAGGCAGACCCCTTCTGATTCCTGAGTTTGTCCTCTCAACAAACCTCCCGCCCTGGACTCCATGGTAACAGCTCCACCTTTGTCTTCGGCCATCGTCTCACAATTTGTCATGGCTTCCTGCCGCGCCGCTTGGTTTGCAACCGTTGCATTTTTTTTAGACTTGCGACCTTTGTTCCACAGCGACTTCAAACGTTCGATCTCCTGTTTCACCTCAGGAATTTCCTTAAACAACTGTTCCCTCACGTCTGCCATGCTGAATGATTTAGAGACCATTGAGCAGTCAATGCCCATTCCTGAGACCGGTCGTAAACAGAACTTCATCAAATTTTCTCCTCGAACCACATGACCCATTCCTTGCTGCAACGATTCAATCTCAGACCCCTCATCATCCTTCTTCCTGTCCTCTGCAATGTTGCCTACATCTGTCCCTTGCATCTGTGCAACAGCATCATCATCACCATCATCATCATCGCCGCCACCATCTTCCAAACCTTCCACAGGGAAGACACTTGGGCAGAGAACATTGAGCCGTGCACAGATCTGTGCACTGGACCTAAGCACTGGCTGGCCACCCCGAACCCCCCACCTTCCATGGCCGGCCATGATATGCTGTGTTGCACTCCCAAATCTGCTCATCCACTGGCAATACTGCGGAAGCCCAACCACACTTGGGGGGCCAAAATGTACAATGCAAACCACTTGCTTATTTCCTTCCTTTTCTCCACCGGCATCAGATCCATTCCTACTCTGTTCCCCCTCTTCACCTGCCAAATCCTCATCAACCTGTGCCAAGCTCGAGGCCGAGTTCGGGGCATTCGTGAAGAACCTGCCGAAAGCCATTGACGATATGAGGGCCTCCACATGGCGCTCGGATGGGCAGTCAACGAGAATAACTATAGGCCCTGGCGTCGTTGGGCCCAAGACTTGACGTGGATGCACAGTTTTCCCATCTGCATTTTGTACGCTCTCTCCTCTCTGCAGCCTCCCAAAGAGAGGTCCGGGCCTTAAGCCCAATGCTATTGCCTTCTGAGGGTCGAACTTCCCTCTCACATCCGGTAACTCGCAGATATACACCACCGACACGTCATCTGGCTTTGCTCTCTCTCCTTGTGCTGGCAGCGTCTCGCCGCCGGCTTGGTTTCCTCTGCCATGCCTCGTTTCGGTCACCCATCCCCTAACAACACCCGTTTCCCTCTTGAAAGAGTCGGAAACCTTCCGCCTTTTCCCCTCTGCTGCATCCTCCTCTGCAAATGAGGCTTCTTTATCTGGGATCGCTTTTCCAAACCCCCTTTCAGCAGTGAAGAAGCCGTTACTAACACCTGGGACTGCAGTTGGGACATCGCCAGGGAGGGAGTCCTCAAACCCCAGGTCCCACGGCTCTGTTCCAGGAATCAGGCTACTAGCACCATTGTCGGGACTGAATGGTCTCCTTGCACCTGCGCTTCCATGTTCACGTGCTGCTCCTGCTCCCATCATACCATCCCGGCTGAGAGAGGATTGCGCCCTCTCAAGCTCACCTTGCGAGCCAGCAGCATGGGCTCCGTTCCCCCCCACTGCAAGCCCTTTCCTTCTCCTCTTCGTCTCCTCTGCCACATGTTCCTCATGTGGCCTTGGCTGAACCAAGACTGCAGTTATCTTGACCAGGTCATCCTCATATACTGCCTTTCCTTCCTCGTTCAGACTGCTGCTACTATTCTTCTTCGCCTTCTTTTTCTTTTCCTCGGTCGCAGGTGCAGACGCCATGGTGCTATCACCGAGCAGTCTTTCTTTCCCATCCAACGGATGACTCGGAACATCCCCTTCGGGGGCGGCCTCGTTCTCCATAAAATTGCGAAGTGACAGGTCCAGGATGCCCGAGGGGACGAATGTGCGCATTGCATTCACAACATGATCGAGGTCCGAAGGCCCCCAAATGCTCATCTTTACAGATCCATCTTCACCCATGTTGAAAAGCGTCAGAAGGAGACCCGGCAGCCCGCCAGCAGTCTCGCTGCAGACCCGAGTGAAGAACAGGTGGTCGATCTTCGATAGCTTGATCTTGTGCTCGATGCAGTAGCGTTGAAGACCCTCTCCACAGTTAAACAGGAAGCGCCTCTGATCAAAAAACAATAACACAGACGGTGATGTGTCACCAGTATCCATGCCCGTTCCAAGGATCTGGACATAGCTGCAGGTGCTGTGCACGCTGCCCGCACCTCCTCCCCCCTCTGCCTTCTTGCTCTGTGCTGTCGACGTTTCCTCCGTCCTTAAGCTCCCCCCTCCTCCCTCTTTGCCCCTTCCCTCCCTCCTCCCCATCTTCCCTCTTCTTTCCACCCTCGGGCCACCACTTTCTTCCACCTCACTTCCTCTTCGTCTTCCTATTTCCTTCTCCTCCTTCCTCCTCCTCCTTCGCACTTCCGTCCCAACTTGTACTGCTCCCTCTCGCACCCGCACGCCCTTCCACTCACCAGCCGTCCAGGTCCCGTCTCCCGACGAGGATGCTGACAGCAACCCCCTCCTTCTGGGCCATGCTGAGCTGCGCAAGTCGCGCAATCTGTGCGGCGCCGACAGCGATGAACCCTCCCTCGTCGCTAGAAGGCTGTCCGCCGTCCACACCACTGCATCGCCAGCAGCTCCACTACTCCCCGCTCCCACCTGGTCCTTTACCGCACGCTGGTGTTTACACTCGATCACCCTCCGAACCTCATAAGGTTGCAGGCTCGAAGACCGATAAGGTTGCGGGTTGGAAAACAAACGAGAAGGCCGCCTGCTCAGCAGGAAAGGAGACCACTTCGGCACGTAACTACACACCAGCTGGGATTCGCGGACGGTAGCAAGATGTTCCGACCATTTTTGGACGGGACCGCGTGGCACACCCACAAGAGCTGGGATTGCCAGCTGGCATGACATCGAAACACAAGCGATATGATTGGATGGAAAAGTGCCCAGGCCTCAACGGATACTCGACACGTGTCAAATGAAGGCTGTCCCCAAAGAGTCAAAGACGAAATACGGCCTGCCCCCTGCGACAGACGCACAAGGTGCATCCCTCAGCACCATCGGCAAACCATCTCCGCCACGGAAAGCGTGAATAAAGTATTGCCACGTGTCAAACAGATCATGTCGTACAAAATCCGAAATTTAGCCTGCCACTGCACCAGATGCACGAGGTGCGTCACTCACAGGCACAGACAAATGGATTCGGTCCAGGAAGTGTGAAAAAGTGTTTGGTGGTGCCAAAAAACTGGTACCGCCACTACCAGGGGCATCCACCGCCTGCCCGGGGGGATCTAAAACCACCAGTTCCCCGCCCAGGCAAAAACAATTGTCTCCTTGAATTCAGGGGAGACCTGGACAGGCCCGGTAGAAGCCCAGTAGAGCCTTGGTAGAGCCTCCGCACACGTTCAGGTGGTTGCCCGTTTGGAAAACGAACGCTTGTGACCAGAAAAGATAACAAGGTAATAGAAGAGACAAAAAAAAAAAAAAAAGGTCCAGAATGGCGTGGGGAGAAGACTTCACGTTTTGAATGCAGCTGGGGCCTCCTGTACGTCCACCAAATCTGCAAAAGGAGAACGAATCTTCCATTAGAAACCGTACAGAGAAGAGTGGCATGGCCCTGCACGCACCACAAGGATGAGGCGCGTGAAGCGAAAAATGGTTCAAAAAAAGAAAAAAAAAGAAAAAGGAAAGTGAGAATGAATCTTCCGTTATAACAAGGAAAGGTGCAGATTAGAGCAACATGGCCCTGCACAAGGATGACACGCATATATCGAGAAATGCTGCAAATTAAATTAGGAAAATGTTACAACCTGCAAAATTGCAGACTGAGAAATCTGCTGCTTTTTTCTGAGTTTTGCTCCTTCCTGGGCTGATTTGCTGAGATTTCCGTGTTCTGCTGTGACATTGTGTGTCTTGCTGAGTGCGCATGGGTCCGGTCTGAGTGCTTGCTGATGTCTGTGTCCCTTGTGTTTCCCGCCTGTCTGAGAACTAGTGTGTGTGTGTTTTGGATTTTCACCACAACAGCCCCTAATCAACTCCCCCTAGATGAGCAGAACCAGATTCGAAGCAGCTTCAGTCCTATTGCAGACAATGAAGCGAAGCACGCTTGAGTTGCGACATACCAACAATGAAAACGTTTTACCTCTATATAGCAAGTAACATGGAGCAGAACACAAATCCATCGAGAATATCGAGATGATCCCTTTGTCAACTATGTTTACTTTGGCACACCCCCTAATCCACCTTAACGGCACGCTTGCACGTCATGAAAGGAGGCAGAGTAAAGAAGGGGGGCATCATCAGCTTATATGTTGACTTTTCTCTTAATGATATGCTCACTCGTATACATCTGCTACCGGTAGTAGTAGTACAAAAGGAGAGGGAGAGAGGGAAGGGGTAGGAGGCGGAGTTCTTTCTATAGGGAGCGAGGGGCAGAGGAGGGAGAAGGGGTGGGGGAGAAAGTGGAGTGGCAAAGGACAGAACACTGAGAACAGAGATATGACGAACTTCACTGGGTTCTAAATACTCACCCACTGGAGCAGTCGACTCTAGAATGGCACAAGGGGCCAGTCAAGTGTTTGGGTTGCAGAAGATTTGGAGTTGAAGAGCAGCTGCTGTTGCCTCTATGGTAAGTGGCCACCACTACAAACCGGACAGGACCGGTTCGGGTGTGGACTGCGGAAGCACCGCATCCAAATTCTCGCAGTCGCTGTCGCAGTTGCTGCATCGAATAGCGCGGCATAGACAGATGTCACGGGCTGCATGGCTCCTACATGGCAGGAACACAGAGGCACGCCGACCGCAATTGTTTGTAGAGGCATTGATTGCCGTTCCAGCCCCTGTCTACAAATTGGATATGACATGTCAGGGTGGTGCCGTACACGAGTGCAGTATTGACTGTCATCATACGTACGAAGATAAAAACTCGCATGGGCTATCTATCCCTTCATAATCCTCACGGTACAAGGTATGCGAACCACATGCTTGCCGGATCTCAGGTGGGTCAGCAAAGAGTGGCATTCGGCAGGTTCTTTGGGTTTCCTCAGTATTTATTCCCTCTCTACGGGCAGACGACAACGGGGATTGGTCCAAAGTAAGGGTGTTTAGCTGCTGCAGGATTTGGTCTGCAACAGCTCAACCCCTGGTGGTGATAACCTTTTCAGTACAGCGCCTTGTAGGTGGTTCATATGGTAAGTCTATTTTCCTCCTAGGCTGCTGGGTCTATCGTTCATCTGGCAAGGAAGAAAGAAATCCATCTGCAGTTGCAACAGGTGTATGCCCAACACTGCATGTGGGACATACTACGGTAGCAGAGGATGCGGCGGATGATGGCATGGGGATAGTCCACACAGCAGAGACACATTCTTTCTATGACAGCTTCCTGGAATCGACGACACATGGCATGTTGCACGTGTCAGCAGGAAAGCAGGCTGACATTCGCAGCTACTCAAGCAAGGCAGATCAGGGCCACGAGGGCATGCTTGGTAAGTAACAGGGGAGTGGGAGTGATGAGTACAAGACAAAGGGTCACAGTTTTTTGCGGCAGAGGCAGGCAGTGACCATCCCTTCGTAGTGTTCGGAAGCAGAGGCTGTGCCATGTGCATGCTAACCGACCTGTAGCTGTGTGATGACACAATGGGAGGGCACAACCACCCTCCTCTTGAGAGGTCCCTCCACTGTCTGTGGTAGAATCCATCCGATCTACATAGGGAGGGGACACTACCTGACCATGGACTACAGGGGAAGCAGGAGGTTCGGCCGGATTGCTCTCCGCAGGCTGTAGTGCTTGCGGGTGCACAGCGACAAACAATTCCTGATGGATGACCCAGACCGAGCGAGAATCCACAGCGTGATGATAGAAAGAATGACTACTTCCCGCCGTCGTGTGCATCCCACACCTATTATCTGCAAACGTCACATGGATTATCTGAAATGACCAGGACGATGCAAGGCATAGGCACGAATATTGTTTTGGATCCATGCCTGGCATGTGATTCTGTGGAGCAGGCTGGAGTTGTAGTCATCTTCCCATTAAATGACTCAGACAGGGCCTCAGTGTTCATGCCAGTGGCGGTGCAGTACTGTCGTCCTCGGCGCAGAGAGCACGACGCTCTTCCTCTATCCAGCGGACGATATCTGCAAAATCGGAAACCATACAAGGGTCCAGCGATTGTCAGCGAGGAGACACACATTAATGACATAGTACGCACAATGGACTAATTGTAGCACTATGAGATCATCCCGACTCTGCAGGTTGTGCAGCAGGGGGAAGGTTCATTCCCCTCTGCAGATAGCACGGCTAGGCGGAGACGCATTAAGGTCTTGACTGTTTCTGTCAGGTGCCTTTGGCGGTATTAACTCCATTGGTTCTGCTGGCATACGCTCCGGAGAGAGATCATCTTTAGTCGGGGGCGCCGTCAAGCGATGAGAAGGTGGACCATTGTTGTCAATTGGGCCGGGGGGGGAGCAAGCAGGGTCAGGTGGATGAGAAATGGGTGGGTGGGTGGATGAGAAATGGGTGGGTGGGTGGATGAGAAACGGGTGGGTGGGTGGATGAGAAATGGGTGGGCGGGTGGATGAGAAATGGGTGGGTGGGTGGGTGGGTCAGATGCAAGAAGTGGAAGCTGAGCAGCCGCACTTACTAGTATGTATGCTCAGTCAGGGAGGCAGATGGTAGTGCAAATGCTGCACAGCTGGTGGCTATGGCTACCGGTAGTGTATATTGAGAGTGACGACGTCATTCCGCACGGTTGCGACCATGGCGTGGGCGTGGGAGGGCGCAGTGATCATGCTGTCCAAGGACAAACGAGGCTGTTGCCTTGGAGGCGGCAGTGGAGACGCGGGAACGCCTCCGCCGAAGAGGTACTGCAGCAACCGACACGATTGCAAGCATGGCCTGGGAATAACCATGCAGAGGGGACGGTGATCATGCTGTCCAAGGACAAAGGAGGCTGTTGCCTTGGAGGCGGCAGTGGAGACGGGGAAGGCCTCTGCCGAAGAGGTACTAGGACAACCTAGCTAACAATGGACACCTCCGGTGACGGGGCCTCTCTGATGGCTTATCTGACCATGAATCTGTTGATGATGAAGTTGGTGACGAAGGGGAGGCATGCAAGGCGGAGGAGGAGGAGGAGGAGGAGGAAGAGGCAGAAGAGGGAGAAGGGGAAGAGGAGGAAGGAAGTAGGGGAGGCAAATGACTGAGGTGAGGGGAGATGTAGTAGAAGATGTCAGCGGGGGAGTTGGAGGTGATCGCGGTGGTAGTGGTGGTCGGGATGACGATGGTGGGGGCAGCGATGGTGGTGGTGGTGGGGGGGGGGGAGCGAATTACCTATTTGCATGTTTCTTGCAAAGTTTTTCCTTTAGAAGTCCCCTTTGGGACGCTTGTTACTTTCTGTTTTTTGTTTTTTTTTTTTAATTGCTGCTTGTGTGTGGGGGACCCACTGATGACGGTGTGTGTGCTGAAATGGCCTCCGTACCTAATAGGCTAATACTAACCTGTGGCCGCATGTGTCCAGGGTTGCGGCGGGTAGAGAAGGGAAAAAAGGAGGCCAGCAGAGGCCAAAATCAATTAGCAGGGGGTAGCAGGGGGTATAGGGTAAACAGAAAAGGTCAAAAAGGCAGTCCCGTTCATTTTAATTTCCTCCCTCTCATCCTGTTCGCTCATCCACTCCGTGCTCTCAGCCATTCTTTCTGTGTATCTTTTCCTGCCTTGTGGTTTTGATGGCTCTCTCTCTCTCTCTCTCTCTCTCTCTCTCTCTCTCTCTGTGTGTGTGTGTGTGTGTGTGTGTGTGTGTGTGTGCCTTGCGCATATTCAGTATCGTTCACCAGCACATGAAGAACCTCAATTTATTGGTTGATTGAGTTTTTTTTTTACTGACTGATTAATTGATCCATTGATCGTTTGATTGATCCATCAACTCATTCATTGGTAGGTCGACTGATAGATTGATTGATTGATTAATCGATTGATTGATTGATTGATCGATGGATTGATTGGCTCACCTTAATGATCCATCAACGTCACCCCATGATTCATCCACGTCATCATCCACATCACGATCATGATTTATCC